GCTATGGACTCAGGATGAAATCCATTGCTGAAAAGTTAGAGAATTCACTCTCAAACACGCAAGAAAGGAATGCAACAAGTATTCCACCATGGATAATCAAGCAACTCGAAGTCTTGCTAGAATTAAGTAAACACCTTAAACAAAAAAAAGCTCTTACGCATATTCCATGAAAAATTTCAGGACATATTGGAAAAGCGTTCTAACTATACACCCATGTATACGGAGGAATCAACATGTGAGGACAAGACAGGATGTGCAGCAAAATATTACAGAAAAAGCACCTCCCAAAGACATGTTCTGTTTTCACTACAGAGGCTTACGCAGCTCTCAATATCAGCAAACCGAGCAAACAAAAAATATCTTGTCTCAAACTCACTATCCGTCTTAATGGCTTTAAAGGAAAGAATCCAACAACCTACTCATATGTAAAATGAACATGACTTGCAAATATAAAGACATCAAATTGTCTTGGATCCCGAATTACATCGGAGTGGAAGGTAACAATAAAGCAGACCTAAAAGCCAAATCAGCTTTAGATATAGATGTAGATTATATATTCATCGACCAAAATCCCATACACTGACTTGAAAGAGGTCAGTATCTGTCTATATTTCTGAGATGAGGTATTATGTACACTATTTACATTATTCGGACTATTGTCCTCATCTATATTTATCCGATCCTTCAGTATCTGTCTATATTTTTGAGGTCGCCACTATTTATTATTCAACGTTTTGTCCCATTCAGTATCTGTCCTATATCTGTCTATATTTCTGAGATGAGGTATTATGTACACTGTTTACATTATTCGGACTATTGTCCACATCTTTTTGTCGATCCCATATCTATTACAATTTCGTATTATGTACACTATTTACATTATTGAATCATCTTTGTTCATATTTTCCGATCCTTCAGTATCTGTCTATATTTCTGAGATGAGGTATTAAACGAAACATTATTCGGAAAAAATCTTTCAGTATCTGTCTAAAGATGAGGTATTTGTAACATTATTCGGACTATTGTCCTCATCTTTTCGCCATATTTATTACAACGTTTCGACCATTCAGTATCTGTCTATATCTGTCTATATTTCTAATTGTTTCATTATTCGGACTATTGTCCACATCTTTGTCCCCATATCTATTACAACGTTATATATATATATATAAATACAAATATATTTAACATTATATATATATATATTTCTCTCACCCCTCTGTGTGTCTCTGTCCATGTGTATATAAATATATATAAATATACCTGTATGTGTGTGTATGTGTCCATGTAAAATATATATATATAAAATATATATACATAATATACATATATATGTATATATGTCTATATTTCTGAGATGAGATATTATGTACATTATTCGAACTATTGTCCTCATCTTTGTCGCCAAATTTATTACAACACTTTTGTACGACGGAGTGCAAAGTATTCTTAGCCTGATCTAATTCAGAGAATATGAAAAAAACTGATGGTTTTAAAAACAAAACCTAAAATCACACACATTTTACATAGATACTCCGCACAACATTGTGGAAGGTGAATTGATAATCACATTGCGGTGTAAAAGTGAGCCATCATATAGTGTTGATTCCCATGTCCGCACTACCTATCTCTCTGTATGTGTCTGTCACTCTCTCTTTCTCTCTTTTCTCTCTCTCTCTCTGTCTCTCTCTCTCTATATATATAGAGAGAAAGACAGAGAGAGAGAGAGAGAGAGAGAGATGATGATGAAGGCAGGGAAAAGAGTTCGTAAAAATCTACTGAGGAGTGAATTAAAAACAAAGAATCTCGAAGTACAGATTTATATAACTGAACATTTTTCATATATATATATATATATATATATATATATATATATATATATATTTGATGAAAATATTAAGTCTTAACTTATGTTTATGGCTAAATCCTTCAATACCAGAGATAGAGCGTATGTAAATATAAAAGGTCAATATCTAGCGACAGCCGTTTCATGCTTGAACGCAATCTTCAGGCCATCTCGTTTACACACGCACGCACACACATACGCACACATACACGCATATATATATATATATATATATATATATACTATTTAGCGTTGCACATTTTTTTTTAAGCGTTTCACCCCAAGCAAGGCGGGAAGCCACTAGGACGCAAGGGGTTACAGAAAATTTAGAGCAAGATCAGATAGGAGTGATAGAAGAAAGGATGAGGAGAAGGATAGTGGATAGATCAAGGCAACTGGAGATGTCGATTGACATTACATTTGAGTAGCTGGAGATTATAGCTCTCAGGGAAGCTGGAAGAGGGAAGGGAGTTCTACAGACGAAAGGTGCGAGACATGAAGCTATTGGAGTAGAAGAGACGGCTACATTTAGGAGTTTCGACAGTGAAGGGGTGAGAGCCGGATGCCAGCCTTGTCGGGCGCTTGAACTCATGAAGTCTGGGAACCAGCGAATGCAGCTCCTCGGAGCAATTGCCATGAAAGTATTTGTAAAACAGAGAGAGGCGACGGCGCGTGTGTGAGAAAGTGACTTTAGACGAGATGCCAGATCAGGGCCAATTATATTGCATATCCGCCTCTGGAGCCTATCAAGAACCCCGAGGCAAACAGAAGGGGCTCCAGACCATATATGGCAGCAATACTCCATGCAAGGACGAATTGTTGATTTGTAGATCTGGAGGATCGATTCCGGGGAGAAAAATTTCCTGGAGCGGCACAGGGAGCCAACTTTTCTTGCGGTGGACGAAGCAATTGACTCAATGTATTTGTTCTATCTCAAGTCAGCAGTCAACGTGAGACCGCGCAGACGACTAAAATTAGGAACTCCGAAATTAAAAATATCCTGCCTTTTACTTATATCTGCTAGTTTCAATATTTAAAATGAGCAGTTATGTTTAGCTGAGTTTAGCCAGATTGAAATACATGTGTTAGGCACACTTTGCTGTAGCAAATAGAGAGTTTCAGTTATTCTATCTGTCTGCAAAATCTTTGCTTTTCTCAAGGTTTGAACACCTATCTTCAGCTTCAGAAATAATTACACAACTCTTTGAAATAATAGAAAGTTTTAACAGAGTAATCGGAGATGTCTGGTCAGCGTCAAAATTTGGCAAATTATGCAACTACCTGATACGAATATTCATTATATCCATCAATATTTCTTCGTTCGTTTACAGTAATTTTTATTTTTTTTACTAATCTAATTAGTCATTTTAATTAATTGTAATTAAAGCATTTGAGTCGCTAAAACTGAAACAACGCCCGTGTACTTGACACATCATCTTAACAAAATCATAATTGATAAGTGCCTAATGTAACTGAATCCGAGTTAACGGAACATCTTTGCCAGAGACGAGAAAATCTGGCGTTGTATCTGCGGTCTGGAAAAAAAACATGGATTTCTATTCGTCTCTTTCTCATTCTGACGAAAACTTACACTCAGCAAGATCATATGGCTCTTCTTTTTTAAAAGACTGTTCTAAATAATCTTACGAATGAAATATATATATATATATTACTGTCATATATGGTCTAGTGCTCCCGCTGTACGTTTCGAGGTCCTTGACAAAATCCGGAGACGAATATGCAAGATGATAGGTCTTGATCTGGCATCTAGTCAACAATCGCTATCCCACAGACGTATTGTGGCCTTCCTCTGTCTGTTCTACAAGTATTTTCACGACAACTGTTCCGACGAGCGACTTTCGCTGGTTCCCGGACTGCATGAATTTAAGCGAGCAACCAGACTGGCAACTCGCTCCCACTTTTTCACTGTCAAAACGGTTAAATGCAACCTAGGTAGCATAGTCCATTAGAAAAATTAACATGAAAGTATTTCTAGAAGCAAAGTTGGTTGTCTGTGTCATGCCAGGAAGTTTTTCTTGTCTGAGTCCATCCATCAAATCTATAAATCAACCATCCGTCCTTGCATGGAATATTGCTGTCATAGATGGTCTGGTGACCCCGCTGTACATCTCCAGGTCTTCGACAAAATCCAGAGACGAATATGCAATGCGATAGGTCTTGATCTGGCACCTCGTCTACAGTCGATTTCTCACAGAAGTGCAGTGGCTTCCCTCTGTCTGTTCTACAAGTATTTTCATGGCAACTGTTCCGACAAGCTACTTTCGCTGGTTCCCGGACTGCATGAATTTAAACGAGCTACCAGGTTGGCAACTAGGTCCTACCTTTTCACTGTCAAAACGGTTAAATTTAAACGTCTCTTCTATTCAAACAGCTTCTTCTGTAGAACTCCCTTCCCCTTAATTGCTTCCGATGACGATAATCTTCAAATATTCAAATGTAATGTCAATCGACATATGACTCCCTGAGCTTGTTCCCCGTTCTTATCTGTATGCTTTCCCCAAACATACCTCTTTACACTTGTTCTGTAACCCCTTGCGTGCTAGTGGAACTCCCACCTCGTTTCGGGTCAATTGCTTAACAAAAAAAAAAAAAAAAAAAAAAAAGGTCGGATAAAACAGTACCGGGGCTGGGAGTATAAAAAAGAAAATTAGAACATGTATCATTTCGGTATTTAATCTTCTTCGAAGCTAGACAAATTATATAGCGTCGTTTCCATTGAGGAAAGCATTTCTGGAACTGCTTTTTTGGGATAGCGATCAGCTGCTTCGTCACATTCTCTTGGATATTGACGGCGTCTTAAAATCTCGTGCCTTTCAAGTAGGATTAGATTTCGGAAATACCTCATACCTCAATGGCTATAAAAACGGACTTCATTTCATCAAAATCCAAGCTAGTATTCTTTATCATCACAAAGTAGGCCGGGATTTCTCCCCGGCCACGAGGAAGGCTCGCAATCTCAATAACTGATTGATTGTTTCGTTTATACGGTTTATCAGCCCTTTTTCAGGTTATTTAAAGCCAGAAAATATTTTTAATTAATTTATTAATTAACCTATAGCTGTGAAGAGAAAAGGTGGATTCATACCCTTAAGTGAATATAATAAAAACCGGGAATTATCCATTACATCAACCGTACATCACCTGTTATTCCCAAATGGTCACCCATATAGGTACTGACCAGGCTCATTGCTTAACTTCGTTGATCGTACGGGAACCGATGTTTCAACGTAATGTAGCCGTAACCCAATCTCAATGAGGCTTTGAAAGTCTACTGAATCTCAATTTCACACCTCAGGCCACCAGTGGAACTCATCTATACAAACTATCCCGTTCAAAAGCGTACCTGACTTCTTCTACCGCGCTTTACTGTTACATGAGTCAAATCCGACCAAATTGAAGAATTTATGCTATATCTGATCTGAAGCTACACAGTCCTCCAACTTTGATAAAGTTCAAAATCGTTTACGCGTCTTTTCGGCCCTGCAGCCCACAGATGGAACTATCTGTCACTTAGTGTCAACGCCGTACAACATGCAGTGCAGTCGTGGCAACAGTGGTAAGTCTTGAACAAGATAGCAGCCTGATGAGGCCATCCCTCATCAGGCTGGTTTGAATTCAGAAATGTTCTTTAGGATCCAACATCTCCTTCTCGTGATCAATAGCTGGTGGAAAGAGATGGACTCATACCTTTCCCAAGGATATTAACACGTAAGACAATGTAATGAACTCGAGTGAAAATCGAACTCGACTCTCCGATTCCTCAATTTGAGCCGTGTATCCTCAGCTTATCTATAATCTATTACTAATTCCATGGCAAATGTTCAAACGAGGTGTATGTTTTATTAGCCACCAGTTCAAACCTTTATAGCTTGAATCCACAATGCCATATAAACAGCTTTGAATCACCCTAATTCTCCCCGTATTCCATTTGTAGGAAGGATCTTCTACTCAGGCCTACTTTCCAAGAACCTCTACATTGTGGAACAGACACCCGATTGAGGGCTTCCAGGACACTGCAATCTGAACCTATTCACGTCTAGGATCAGTCGTTTTATATTCTCAGTACCCTCCCTTCTTCCTTTTACGCTCATATCAACCGCCTCATTTATTAACCCTCTTCCACAAAGTAGCTTATCAAACGAAGAAATTGGGCAAAACTTCTTCCTTAATAATTGTTGAAGCTTGGATAAGCATGGAATAATAATAATACAACACAAAATGTACGTAAACAAAATGTATTGAAACAAGGTAAAGGTACACAATATTTACAGTTAGTTTTGGTATATTCTTGGGAAGACTGTTCCTGTAGAATGGGTTGACTTAATCGCAGTCGGGCAGAGTCTCTGGATTGGATCTCTTGTTACTCCCCCCGTCTTCCCGGTACCAACCCATATTTATATGGTTGGTACTCCACTATGTAAATTAGGTGGATCGTACCACAACACTAATGGAATACAAAGAGAATGACGATGATTCGAACCTTGTTTTCGTGGCATGCGGGTCCTAGTTATAATGGTCTGCACTGATGGAACTAAGGTATGTAGTAATATTAGTAGTACTACACTTAATATTGACACTTCTGGTAGTTACTTTTGATACTGCAGAGCGTTTTGAGTATCTATTGCTAATATTGCCCTCCCGTCAAGCATTAATCCATATAATATGGCCCATAAAATGCCCACATAATCTCTTTGAGTATTTCTCGCCGAGGAGAAAAATTGACGACCAAAAATCCGCCCGTTTCTCCCTCAATAAGCCATTAAATTAATCCTGTGTTCCACCGGGGCCATTATGGCAAAGCGGACAATAGCTTGAAATCTCATTTACCTTAAGAATCTTGTCAATTTCACGATAATTACATTGTTTTCGAGAACGTGATTCAACTTCTACGCCATTATTGTCTTTATTATTCTAGAATCAAGGTGTACACCAAAAGAATAAAGCAAAAGACCTTATATATATATATATATATACATGTGTGTGTGTGTTTGTGTATATGTGTGTGTAATGAAATAGATTAATTCCGAAAATTATTTAATATATTTTCTGTTTATACGTTATTTTTATAGATACAATTTATTTAAGTAAATACCGTTTTTCATTAAACAGTGTTAATTTATGTTCGAGAAATGTAGAAAATATGCGCTCTCCAACAGGAAACGAAACTGTATTCCTATACAGAAACCATCATTTGATCTGATGTGCTATACCATTTAGATACAGAGAAGCGTTTGCTTAGCAAAGTTCCAATTACTGTTTATAAAGACACAATCTTTTACGATTTTTCTCACGAAACGTATCTTAACGTAAACATATTTTGTGATGATTAAGTAATCCTTTTCAGACAAGGGGGAACTTCAGTCGATAAAAAGAAATGCATTAGATTCATTATTTACTCCAAAACTAGCAACTTAGTTATTAAAAATAATATATCCCAAAATCCAACTCCCAATAAAAAAGACCAACGTTGTGTATAATTATACTTGCCCACTCTGAATAAAAATCACAAAATGCCTTACATAGGATATATCACAACCACACTTTCAAGTAGGCTCACTTGCAACCTCTTCGGACATAGTGCTATCGAACAACACATTAATAAGAAGCATAAGTATCATATTAATATTAGACAACTATTCACAAACAATACCAAATTACTAGCAAAATCGCGGCCTGTGTAAGACTGCAAGGCCTCTGATCAGGAGGTTTTGAGGAGCGTGGAACCACCTCTTAATTGCTGGTGTTCCCAGATCCACCCTGATCCGGGGTGGTAGTATCTGTTAGGGTCCCAGCTATAGACAAATAGTTAACCCCCAAAACTGGAGTCAAAATAACATGAAAGTGTAAAGATATGTTATAATACTAGAAATTCGAACGAACAAATATTATCAGAAATATTTTTTTTTGAAAAAATATTACCAGCAATGAAAATTTTGTAGGAATTAAATAACCCATTGATGTTGATATGCCGTAAAACAAAACAAACGAAATCAAACCAAACCATGTCTTTTTTCAAGGAAGCTGCATCGAGCACTTTTTGATATATGTCCGTTTTATTTTAGTTTTATTTTCAAGCCTGTTAACATATATATATATATATATATATATATATATATATATATATATTATTATTATTATTATTATTATTATTATTATTGTTATTATTCATTAAAGAATATCAAACACTTAAAATCTCATAGTTAATATTTTTTTTCCTGAGAGCTCTAAAAAGAAAAAGCATCCCTCAATCTTCAAGTCCGACAAACAAATCACAAAATTTACGGTTTAAAATCAAGAGATATTGCTCTCTTATTTAGAGAGTGGGAAAAGACAGAGAGTGTTGAACTATATATTGTCGCTCATCTTCTGAAAGGATACGGCACATGGAAGAATAAAACTTGATTCGGAAATAACTAAATATTAGCCTCTTATATTTTAGCCAAAACACATTTGCTTGGTCCGTGCATAGGTAAACATTGGTCGTATATACATGCGTCTATAGGCACTTCCTAGGATCAGGGATACATACTTATTGATCGTTTATATTTGAATGTATAAGTATTTGAGGTGTCCGGAGATAGATCAATAAGTTCATTGTCGTTGCTATATCAATTGCTTTATTAATATTTTTCATCGTTAGAAACAAAGAAGATAGTACTGAACTACGATAGAATATTATTGCTTTTATAAAGTACTAGCCGTGGTACCCGGTGTTGCCCGAGTATAACCGCACCCCCTGTCTATAAATGTCTGCCTGCGTCGCCGCTTGCATGCATCATCCGTTGGTATATTAAGTTACCCACCTCTCATCTTTTTTACGTTATGTTCTTTGCAAGTGTTTGATTGTTCTTAATACAGGGATTACATCGATAAAACCTTCTTGTGTGGTCGTTGCTCAGGATTAAATTGTTTCAATGTTTTAGATATTCAGTAAATTTCCTATGGCCGTAATAACTTTCAAATAATATGGCATTGCTCACAAATCAAATAATCAAACAAAAACAGGGATGAAGCGTCAGAGCTTGATTCAACTGTAAACACATGAACGCCCCACTTTCTTTGCACGTTTACTGTAAAGTTGGGGGTTAATAAGATGTTCTTCGGGATTTTTTCCCTTTCAATGTAGTAATAATCCTTCTCAACCAATCTTTGTATCAAAAATTGTTCGAATGCCAATTTAGGATGGAATCATAAGAAGAAACTATTGGCAAAAAAGGCAAAAGCCAATTTTGGTCCTAGTTTGTCGCAGATTTCGTCCACTTAAATGAAATAATCTAAACCAAACACTCACGCAAGAAAATTTGTGTGTCATATGGAATTTACATGGCAAATTTGGAAAGCACCGTATGAAAAACGAGTAAGTTATGGCCGAAAAACTGGGTTTTTTAACAATTTTTCATGGTTTTTCATTATACACAGGGAAATGTTATTAGTTATTCAAGTTATTATTTTAAGTAGTACAAAAAACCCGAGTTTTTCACAGTTTATGCGATTTTTTTGTGTGAAGCCATTGTCACGGGAAAACTATCAAGTCCTCTATATAAACCTCGTAACATGAGCTATGTTTTGTATTAAGTGCAAAGAACATCAGCTCATCCAGTAAAAATTTTGTTCGCGTGTAACTTTGCCTTGGTTTTCCCAAAAAGTCGTACCCACCTTCAATTTTATTGATTTTCTACCAAACCTGTAGGGGGGGTGGGGCTGGAGATTGAAACGATGGTCATAAATTGTTTTCATAAATTTGCAATAGGTGTGTACAATTTATTCAAAATCGATTGAGAAAGGTGGACGTGCATAAATAGCATATAGACACACAAACAGACATACACAGAGGGACACAGATAGACACACACACACAAACATCTTCTGTTTTATAGATATAGATTATCAACAATACATTTTATCTGTAGCTGAAGGCATACAACTCCGTTCAAAATATTTAGATTTCGGTATCAAATAACCCATAGAGGTTATGTCGCTAAACATAATCAACCAAACAACTAACTTAAAAGAACTCTTTCATGACATTAGTCTATATAATATCCTACCATTTCTTAAATCAAACTGTATTCCAAAATATAACTTCAACAAAACAATATAAAGCACACATATCTCTGCCTCTAATAATCATGTCCACACAAAGCGTGTATATGCACAAAAGCTGAGTATCATCTTCGTGGTAGATGTGATATATACATAGTAGATTCTACCATGTATATATAATATTTTTATTACTTCA